ACACCTGTGGAGAAGTGAGTGAAGGAACTGGGGTTGTTTAGCCTGGAAAAAAAGGAGGCTCAGGGGAGACCTAATTGCTCTCTAGAACTCCCTGAAAGGTGGCTGTAGTCAGGTGGGAATTGGTCTTCTCTCAGGCAACCACTGATGGGACAAGAGGACACAGCCTTAAGCTGTGCTAGGGGAAGTTCAGGCTGGACATCAAGAAAAAAATTCTTCACAGAAGGAAGTGATTGAGCATTGGGATGCCCAGGGAGGTGGTGGAGTCGCTGACCCTGGAGGTGTTTAAGAAAAGATTGGACGTGGCACTCAGTGCCATGGTTTAGTTGATAAGGTGTTGTTAGGTCAAGAGGTTGGACTTGATGATCTCAAAGGTCTTTTCCAGCCTAGCTCATTCTGTGATTTTGTGATTCCATGAAGTATCAGCTCAAAAGAACATTTTAACACAGCTCCAGAAAGCTTCAGTCAGAGAATACTTGTGTTTGCTTCAGCTCTGGGGTGCTGGGAGCTGAGCAGAAGTTCAGATTTTACAGAAGTAAGTCCCACTCAGTGCACTGCTGTCAGAGGGTCTCTTGGTCTGAGCCAAAAGTAGCTGTGTTAGATGGTCATGGAGTGCAAAAATCCTGGCTGGCTCCACTTCCATGGTCTGGCTGGGGCAACAGAGCAAAAGTAATGGAAATCTGGGGCAAGCCTCTGCTCCTGGGACCGGGCCAGCCCACGTCACACGGGCAGCGGTGCCCAGCCCTGCCTGAACAGCACGTGTGAGTCCTCGAGCTGTGGCCATGGACCTCAGCAAATGGACAGGGAGGAATTCTGTTCTTCTTTGCTGCAGAGGACAGTGTGCTGCCCAAAACAGGGAGTGTAGTGTCAGTGCTCCTAAGGGAGTCAGGATTTTAGCTCACTTAAGTGTACTGCAGCTCTGAACCCATTCCATAAGCCTTTCTTGCTCTTTATGCTTATGGCAAGGTGGTACCTGGGATGCCTTGTTGTTTTCCTTTGACTTACTTTATATTCTGCTATTCACTCCCATCTCTTTTGAGAGCAAAATGCTGTGTGAATGCCTTGCGGGCTCTTTCTCTTTCACTGACCTTTTTATGACTGTAAAGAAGTTTCCTTAGGCCCAAGTCTGCTTTCTGTCTTGAATATTGACCTTAGAGTTAAACCATCTCGTTGTCGCTGCATGCAGACTTCCCAGCTATCAAAGTTCACCCACAGGACTCAAAGTATTCCTAACTCAAAAACACCTAGCTTTTATGTCCTCCTCCTCTTTCCCCTCCTCCCTCCACGTGAGCATTTTAATTTCACAAGCAAAATCCATTTTGCTGTGAATTTTGATGAGTGGTTCACCTGTTTCCAGGGTAAAAATTGTACTTCAAATTTAAATGTCTTTTTCACTGTGACTGTCATAATATTTTCCATTTGAGGCTGAGATTCCACCGTGGGTTTTCTGTGCCATGTTGTCATCTGTCCAAATCTGCGCTTAAATGTGTGGAAATTCTGACATTTCAGTAAGAAATATAAAGTGGGTTTTTTATGTTCTTCAAGTTAGCTGTTTCATAGGTGTGGCCGCTGGGTTTTGCCCAGCACTCTGGTCTTTCCCACTTCAACAACAGATCAAAGATTTGTCAGGTTTTTTGGGCTTGTTTGCATTGACTGTGCCGTGTCATTTTTGTGAGAATAAGTGACGGTGATTTTTTATCTGATTGTTGATCCTGAAAAGCTGATAACAGACTAATTACCCCAAACCAGGCATTTCCAGCCTGACTTCACTTGGCAGGAGATGGTTGCGTGTGACGCCGAGTGTGGTGTCCCTGTACGTGAGGATGTTGGAGAAGGCAGTTTCAAATCCAGCAAACTTGGAGCTGTTTCCCAATGAAAATCACCCTGTGGTACAAAGCCCCATCTTTAGTGGGGGTTTTGAGAGGGGTTTAGTAGGTGTAGTGCTGTTGGACTCCTTCCCCTCGAGTCAATGCCCTTTAGTCAGATCCTGCTTATGCCCAGTAGTTTGAGCTATGTGTTTTGGGGCAAATTTTGAATATTGCTGTTTACCTACACTCAAATATTTGACAAAGGCTGAAATACTTTTCTTCAGTCATGTGGTTTCTTGTCAGGTTGTTTTGTGGAACAAAGTATGCTGTTGAGATTATCACTGAAATTGAATTCTCTAAAAGGCTTTTTGCAGCTTTCTATCAGGTAATATGAAATACATAGAAATATAAACCCACTGGCAACATTCACTTCCTTTTTTTTTTGTTGTCATTAACTTCTTTGAGAATACAAGGGGATATTTGCAGCTGTTTCAGTGGCTTGACATTTGTCACAATGATACAATTTCTAAAATGTTGACTGTAATTGCTGCCTCAGCTCACTGAACCTCTTACCAAACGGGCTGTGAGAATTGCTGGTGACACAAACTCCTGCTGTCAGAACTGATTCCGTTGTGGTCTGACCTGATCAATTGCTCTTTAACGCAAGTCCCAGTCACTCTGTAATTTTATAGTGTAAATCCCTGTGTGATTTTATAATGTAATATTTTACACCTTCGGGGCTATGATGTGATTGCATCTCTAGAGCCAAGGGGAGCACAGTTGAGAAATTAACCCAAGGGAGTTGTGCTTGATGCTACTCAACTGGTGCTCACAAATGTCATTCTTCACAGCTGTGTATTAAGCAACATGACCAACACTTGCCACATGTTGTTTATTCTCTTATTTTCCCCCCACAGAAGGGAATGTGTGTACTGGGCCAATTTCTTTCCTTGAGGAATTATGTTCCTCAAATCCCATATTGTAGAAATCATGTCTTTATCATTAAATTTTATCCTGTCTATTAACCTTCAAATTTTATGGAATTTTGGTAGCTGACCATCACAGATATCGTTGGAAAAGCTCTGCCATTTTGTATGTGAATAGTTACTGAAATGGTTGCAATGCAGGGAGCACCCATTTGAAGAGGTCTAGTAAAACCTCTTTTTTGACTGTTAATTATTAATTTTTTATGATACGAGCTTGTAGCAGAATATTTCTCTCTTAAATGATAATAATGTAATTTATTGTAGCTGCCTAAAATAGCTATAAGCAATCACCCTTTTTCCTTGTGTCTTACAATTTATCTAAGTTGCTTGATAGCTTAGAATAGCCAAACTGGGTGGGCTAATTCAGCCCTGCTTCAGCTCAGTTAACATAATTCCTTCCATTGCACTGGATTTTTTTATTGTACACCACATTAGCTTCTAATGAAGGTGTCAGACTGGCAGACATTGATGCCATCTAGATGCAAAATGAAGCATTGTAATGGTGATTATAGAAGCCTCTCCATCCTGGGGAACCTCTGGTGTGTTTTCCTAAAGGTGCCTCCAGAATGAGCTGGCTGGTTTATGTTTAAGAGCTGGGTCTTGATCCAGATCGTTCACATCAAGGGCAATTATTCTGGGAATGATAATGAGTCTCACACTGGGCCTCCACTGAGAATTCCATTACCAGCATCAGTTATGGCAGCAGTGTAAGCAAGCGAGCAAACTAAAAGGAAGGCCACAACCACTCTTTGGTCTAAGGCACACTTTCTTGAGGATAAACCTTACCTCAAAACAAAGAAATTCACAGTTTGGATAATTACTAACAGCAGGGGTTTTTTTTCCCTTGGTGGAAAACTTGGTTGTGCCACTAAAATGTGCATACAAACTTTTTGGGAAAACTCAAAACTTTCTGCAAGCATGTTCTTTTCATCAAATTCCTTTTTTCATGTTTGAGCCCTCTGCCCAGCTCATTTTGGCTGTGCCTGTCCCCCCACAGCTTCCCTGCGTTTCCCCATCCCAACAGTGACAATGCAGTTTGGCTTCAATTAGTACAGCTCAGATTTCATTTAGTAAATGACTGTGAAAAGCTTTCAATATTGGGACAAACCCAATAGAAACATGTAGATTACCCAACAGAGGATGTTCTCAATTGCTTTGGCCAGAAACTAAAAATCTTACTTAAGATTTTCAAACTCTGGAAGAAGTTTGACCTTCCCCTTCCTTCAACCAGCTCTGAAGTTTGCAGCTGATGGTGTTTTACTAGACTTGCAGCACTGACTTAATAGCTCTTTAGTTATTAGAGGATAAATGTTCATGTTCTACAAGTTTAAATTATATTAAAAGCCTTTATTAGCACCACTTGGCAAAATACCTTCTGGCTAGCTTTCTGGCCTTGGGCTAGGCCATTCTTGTGGTTTCTTAATGACATACTATGAAACGGATATAATTTATGAGAATTTGGTGCCAGGTTTTGCGTGTATTAAGAAGCATTTGCCGTTTGTGTTTAATGCTGCTGAGCAAAATGAGAAAGATTAAAAACTCGAGTTACGTCTTGCATTCATCTGGCTTGCTTTTCACTGTACATAGCCTTTTGTATTTTTATGTATATATATTTATACTATCTATTTTTTATATTATCTGCTCTCTGAATTACTGGTGGATGTTCAGTTCTGGCACACAGCAGTGCTGTTACCAAAGTTACTTTCAATTTATTTTCCAACCTTCCCTGAGTAATTTTGGCAAAGTAATCTCAATGAAAGAACTCTGAGCCACGTAATAGGTTTCTCCACAGTTGGGAGAAGAATTAGGCCACTGGGGCAGCTCATTTTTGTGACAGCAGCTGTGCCATGGGCCAAAGGCCTCAGAAGTTTCTTTCCCACGAGACTTGGTGCTGGGGTGTGATTCAGCTGGTTGGTATTTTCCCCCTCTCAGCATCTGTTTATTTGCTTTGCCACCAAGGCCGCCTCCTTTTCCTTCTGCTGATAGAGCGTCAGTGTGAAAAACGGATGGGGCAAAGCAGCCAGCGGGTGGGAGGAGGCGTGTGCGGTGGGAAAATGGGCCTGGGAGGAAGACCTGGGGCTCGAGTAACCAGTAACCTTTCTTAGGTGTCTTTCCACCGCAAGAGTTGTTTGTGGCAGAGGTGTAAGCTTTGGTGATTGCAGAAACGGGCTGCCGTGGATCTGACCCGATGCTCTCATTCTTTCCGCAGTGGGGAAGCCTCACAAGTGCAACTACTGTGGCCGGAGCTACAAGCAGCGCAGTTCTCTGGAGGAGCACAAGGAACGCTGCCACAACTATCTGCAGAATGTCAGTCTGGAGGCTGCCGGGCAGGTCATGAGTCACCATGGTGGGTGCAAACTGCCTCCAGAGCTCCCTTGGACTTGGAGCGTCTCACACGGCTTTCTTTCCATCTCCTTTTCCTCCTTCCTCTCGTCTTCGCATCGATTCCATCTTAGAGGTTGTTTACACTCAGAGGGACAGGAGGAGAAAAGATGGGCTGAAGTCCTCACTCTGTCCAGTTTAACAGCCCTATTTGTGCATAAGTCATTATTTCACTTTTTAGTATGTGTACATATGCAGACATGAAAATAAAGCCAAGTCACCTATACGGAATTACCCAAAAGGTCATGTCATAGAATCTTAGAATGGTTTGGGTTGGAAGGGTCCTTAAAGACCCTCCAGTTCCACCCCCTGCCATCAGCAGGGACACCTTCCACTATCCCAGGTTGCTCCAAGCCCCATCCAATCTGGCCTTGGACACTCCCAGGAATGGGGCAGCCGCAGCTTCTCTGGGAGACCTGTGCCAGGGCATCACCACCCTCACAGGGAACAATTCCTTCCCAACATCCCATCTGTCCCTGCCTTCTGGCAGTGGGAAGCCACTGTCCTTTGTCCTGTCCCTCCATCCCTTCTCCCAAGTTCCTCTCCAGCTCTTCTGGAGCTCCTTTAGGCACTGGAAGGGCTCTAAAGGTCTCCCTGGAGCCTTCTTTTCTCCAGGTGAGCACCCCCAGCTCTCCCAGTCTGGCTCCAGAGCAGAGGAGCTCCAGCCCTTGGAGTATCTCCAAGGCTTCCTCTGGACTCACTCCAAAAGCTCCATGCCTTTTTCATGTTGGGATCGAAGCCATGTATAAAATGTGTGATTCTCTTCCCCTTCCTTTCTGATAGTGAGTAATAATTAGAAAAAATAAGGATAGCAGAGGTATTCAGAAGTCATTATTTCTACACTCTGTAATACTATCTTATTCCTCCGAAAAAGGGAGGGATGGATGTAAAAATCTCTAGAGCAGTATGGAATTCAATAGTGTTGTAGAAAGTAATTATAACAAAAAAAAAAAAAAATGTTTGTATGCATTTACATTTGCTAGTATTAATATGTTAACTAACACTGCATGTGTTAATATACATAAGGGCTGAAGATTGCCAAAGAGATTGTTGAAAGCAAGAAATGTCAAACTCTGTGAATTTGTTTTCAGAAATTTCTGGAGTTATTAGTATGGATAATGAGCATAATGTCTCAGACTGCAGGGTTGAAGGCTTATCTGTAGCACTAAATGCTAAATGGTAGCTCTCCAAAAACAGTTATAATTTTATTCAAAGTTAGAGTCTCACAAGCTCTTCTAAAATGGAACTTCTTTTAACTTTTCAAAGTTGTCTTTAGATGTTTGATAGTTGAAGACTTCAAATTTTTTTACTATTCAGAAAATATAAAACTGGAATGTTTTCCATTTTGATTTAAAATTACCATATACCTACCAATACCAAAGAAAGTTTGTGGGTAAATGAAAAGGCAAAAGAACACTTCCAATTTTTTTTTTCAATTTTGCTTATCATGACTGAGTGGAGACATTCATCTGGGAATAATTTCTGTAAAACCATTTTTAAAACCCTGAAAATGCAAGCTGAAATAAAATCTATTCAGCATTGCTACTATAGGCTATATTTTGGTGACAGAAATCTCCAGAAAATTTTAAATAGTACTTTCCCATGACCAATTTAAGCCTATAAAGGCACATTAGACAGTTTTAGTACACATTGCCAAAATATTCATACAGCTCTATTAAGTAATTGCTCTCTTGTAGACACCCTGGAGACTAAAGTCAACATTTAAAATGTCATGGATGTTTCAAAGATATTGACACAAGTGATAATGTGCCTGAGGTGACTTTTTTCAGTGAAAAGGCAGATTTGAGGGCTTTGCTCTTTGGGAGGTACCTGTTGTGGGCTTGGTCAAGGAGTGGGAGGCTTAGGTAGAAATTGAATCTCTGAATTGATTCCCAACAAGATACCCACTCCTTGTGCCTCTCTTGTTAAGCAGGGAGGGATGCTTCAGTCAGCCTTTCCTTAGGGAATAAGAAGAGCCTGCCCATAGCTCTGACAGCCAGGATGTTTGAGATCCTGTTGTGGAGGAGCTTCCCAAATGCCGCTCAATGTCTGGCTTTATTAGACAGTTATTTATTAAAATAATAAATTAAATTAATTGAAATTTCTGAGGAAATCTAAAGCTTTTTCTAAGCTGCCTAATGCCATGATAGGGTAAGTCCTTAACCTTGTCTGCCCAAAGAAGCAGCAGTGATTGACCTTGCATTGATTTTTCTACCACCTGAAGTTAAACCAGTGCAAATCCCATGTGGACAGTTCTTTTATTTACAGCCTGACTGACTTTGCTTGGGCTTAAAATAGAAGTGTTCACACAACCACTTCACTTTTCTCAACAAAATTAGCTTAAAGCAGCACTTTGAATTCAACTAGTGCCTCTTTCTCCTCCGGGCAAATATGTCTGTGCCTCCCCTGGTGAATGTTTAAGGGGATGTTTGATTCACTGTCTTCATTTAGTTCTTTAGTGAGGGAAGCGAGGACAGGGAGCTCCAGATTCAGCTGGGACCAGACATAAATCTCAGCTCCCATCCCAGCACCACTCACACCAGTGAAGCTCAGCCTGAGGGTCAGGAGCACCAACCTCTGGAGGTCTGCAGCAAAGTCCTTTTTCCTGGCACTGAAAACACACCAGGGAAGAGTACAAAAATGGTTACTCAGCATAATGCTAGGCCTTTTACTAACCCTGAAAAAACTGTGTTCATTTCCTTGTCTCCCATGTCACACATGGAAATTATATTCCTGAGGATGACTAAGAGTATGTTTTGGAGACTTTTATTTTGCATCCCACTGGGGTGAGCTTTCCTAACTCTCTTTCCAAATACTTGGTGTTTTGTTTTTGCTGGGCATTTTGAAGCACTGGACTTCGTTTTGGTGTCTATCCTGCTCACAACTTCACCACTGCACACAGAACAGACGTGGGGATTTTCTGATCCCTACCAGCATCCTGCTCCTCTTGCTCTTAACAACACCAGCATTGGCCAACACTAAGCATTGATTCAAATTATTGCTGCAGAGACTAATTGTTCCAGAAAACTGGAAGCAGCCCCTAGAGGGTTTGGATTTTTTTCAAGCATTGTGCTCAAGCCCATCAGTTTACAGTCATGCTACAGACATCTACTTTGGTGCTTTCAATTATCTCTGTCTTGCAGATGGCTGGATCACCTGACTGAAGCCACAGGGGGAAACGAGAGGAGGAAGGAGGGCTTGTTTTTGGGGATGGGTAGGAATATACAAATCTCTGGGTCTTGTTCCGTCCTCTTGCAGGGTGCCAGTTGCTTGTTGAGCTACCCCTCCTTGTGTTCCTGTTCCCTGCTCAGCAGGACAGATGCTGCAAGACAGATCCCATGATTTTGTTGTTGAAATTTTTCAGCTAAGCAGTGCTGGCTCTGGAAGGAGAAATTAGTCTCCAGTCTCCTAGCTCACAGTGTGCTGGGGGTGCAAAATGGACAGAACGTGCCCTTTGCAGGAAAGAACAGAGAGAAATGTTGAAGGCTAGTTGTGATTTGCACCTAGTTACGTCTTCTCCTTCACTGCCACAAAGCCAAAAGTCCAGAGAGATTCTTCCAGGAATGGAGAAGGGTACTCTTTTCAGGAGAAGGAGAAAGAAGCCTAGCCCTAGGCTGTGTGAGGCTCAAAGGCCAGCTCCACATAAAACACACAATGGCCTTGTGTCTTTCCCTCTTACATAGTCGCTTAAAACATCGTTAAAATGCTGGTCCCACAGGACACTTCCCACCAGGGTCCATGGGAATATTTCCTGTCATTTCTCTGCACACACACACTTCTTTTAAATAGCAATATTGTGAGCCTTAGAAAGGAAATTGAGGTTGATGGAGTAATACTAATTTATACCAGCTGAGACTAAGCCTAGTGTCTGGTGTCTGCACACAAAATATTTATCAGCAAAACACACACTGGGTAGGTTTTTGCTTCTCTTTTTTCCCCTATTCTTTTCTCACTGGTACAGCATAAATTCTTTTAATAGTTCAATGTTGTTTCTTACAAATTAAGAAGTAAAAAGTTAAAGATATTCACTCTAATTGAAAAAACAATGTCTTCAGGAAAAGAAAGACTGTTCTGAAGATTATCCAAGTTTATGAATTGAGAGTTTAGCTCAGAAACAATACTTGGTATTAACTAAAATTTAAGTATTGACAGTGTCAGAGGCAGTGAACTCTTCCATGGGCAATCCAGGAGCACACCCTGACAGGTGATGAAGAACATCCCTGAACAGAAACATACTCAAGCGTGGGCTTTTCCTGGGCTGGAAGTTTGATTTTTTAGAATAAAAAAGTCTTCCTGAGCTGAGACTGTAAATGCTCAGCATAAAATGAGTTGCTGTATGTGAGCTAGTTATATCTTGTCAGCTGTTCAAGGTAATGAAGTAGGATGTACTACAACAAAAAAGAAATTGCATTTATTGCTGAGTAAATGTGTACACGAGCTTGTACTACAGAGCAGCTGATTGTTGAGAACTGGTAGTTTTGTGTGATCAGTTTGGTTTCCCTCTTTCTTATTTTTTTTTTCCTTAAAAAAAAAAAAAAAAATACAGGCTGGGCTATGTGTCCTTTTTTTGTGTGTTTTTTAAATTGTAATGAAAACGAATGTACCTGGAATTGTCAATGTGGTATTTAACTTTTTGGGTTTCTGAAATGTGACATCTCATCTGTTTGGTCCAGTTTTGTGTACTGTTTAAATTATTTCAGAAAGTAGACAATTCTGTATAACAAAACACACTCTGGTAACATATTTCCATCATAACACAAATATTGGTGTGATTCAGTGATTCTGTTGCAAAAGACAAGTGCCCTGGATTATAGACTTGGGTTCTGGGGTGTGGAAAAGTACCTTCAGCATGAAGGATGGAAAAGAAAATGCTTTTATTGTTGATGATTTTAGTTTTAAAATGAGTCCAAGCAGGATTTTTGTCTGACTTAGAGAAGAGCAGATGTCTTTTTTAGCACTATTCATTTTTCATGGAAGAAAGGTTTCAAATTATGTGTAGGAAATTTTACACACATATGCCCAGCAGCAGAATTATTTAATTATTACCTAATTGTTATGAGACCATACAAATGTCACTACATTTGGGGCTTATTCACATGGCTTTAAAAGTAATGAGGAGCTTTGAACTGTTTCAGGATGCTTTGCACAGGTGTTCCTAGGAGGGATTGAGCACCTTCTTAGTACCACACCACCAGCCTTGTGTGTCCTGTGCACCAAGGGCTGGAAATCCTTGAAATTGCACCCAGGTGGACATAGCCCATGGCAGTCACATCCCAGGATTCACACCCTGTGTGCATGCATCCACTGAGCCTTGGGAAGCCAAAAAAGACAGTCAGATGCCAGTTCCCAGTGAAAATCAGCAGACAGCATTTTTTATTTGCGCCCAAATCTCCTTGGTAAATACTTGAGTAGTGCAGATAGCTTCTGACCAAGTACAGTATTTAATTAACCTTAAAACTTTACCCTTAGCTATTGAAGTATTCCAAGCCTCCCAGTCTGCACTGGGCATTAATTAGGTCACTTGAACACTGCATCCCATTTTGTTGCAACATTAGATTCATTTCATATTTACGCTTTTTTCTCCTCCCTTTCAGTGATGCCAGCAGGACTGCCTTGTAAATGAGAAACCATTGTGTTTCTCAGGGGGAGCATCCTGTACAAATAAAAAAGCAGCAGAGTAAATCATTTTACAGCATATGGTAGATTCTAAGCTTCAAAGTACTCAAGCTTTCCATAGCAGCAGAGGCTCAAATGGAATCAAATGAATAAATTGCCATGTTTTCTTATTATGATGATGTCTGAATTGGGAAGTTCACCTGAACAGATACTTTGTTTTGTAATTGCTTGGTATTTGCTCTTCCCTACTAGAAAGAAGGCAGAGACAAGGCTTTTATCCCCCCATTTTTGGTGTATTATGTGCTAGCAAACAGCTGTGTTTAGGAACAGGGGGGTGATTATTCCATGCCAGGATCCTGGAGGTAGTGCAGTTCCACGGGAGGAAGGTGGGCTGGTGGTGTTCATTTATGGCACTGTCTGGGAGAAGGTGTCTGTGACACAAAAGGCTGCCATGGTGAGAGACCGGAGGAGGGCTGGCAGAACACGAAGGTGCCAGGCATTCTCTGCCACCTCTGCAATACCCAGCATTTTGCTGGGAGCCTGATCTAAGACTCCGAATGCAATGGGTTCCTCACAGTTTACAACCTGTAGGAACTCTGTGCCCCAGCACCCCAGTTTCTGTTTTTCTGTCATCCATTTCATCCATTCTTTATACCCCAGCCATCCCATTAGCACATGGCCTAGTGGCTGATCCCTCTCAGGTTTTTCTTGCTACCTTCTGAGGATGAATGCAGGGACAATTAGGCCTGGTATTAAACTTATAACAGCAGAGCAGAGCTACACACAAATGACTGGGACTCTCCAGGCCTGATCCACAGTCTGGTACTGCTGATTAGAAGAGGATGCTCAACAAAACCAAAGTACTTTGTAGGTGTTTAAGAATGGCTATATCAGCAAGTGGCATAAAACCCTGTGCAAGTGGCTCACTACCCTGGTTAGAAGTCTGTGGAATTCCTACATTTTAGTTTTATCACCTTATTCCCTAAACCAACAAATGAGAGGAGTGAAATGAGTAAGGACAGAAGTTACTGATGTTTTGGTTTTGTCTCAAATATAGTATATGAGCATTCCCCCTCCCTGATGTAGTTAGCACAGGAATGCTCCCTGCTGATCCCTGCTCCCTGATGTGAAGTAAGATGCAGAAAACCTCTGTTTGCAGACTGTTGGATCTGAGGGGATAAAATATTAATCAAAAAATGGGTAGTTTCTGGGTCTGATTCTGAAGGGAATTTCCATGTGATGTTAATCTTGTGATTCCAGTACAGTGTGTGTTGATTTTACAATCTTATTACAGTAAGAAGAGAGGAAATATGCTTCAGCAAACTGATCCTTCGAGAACCTTTGTCTTAGGGAACACACAGCCAGGCCCAGCAAACTGCTCATCAATGCCATGTGTTAAAAGATAATACTAAGAGTAATTATGTTGTGTGTGTGAAGGGAATACACAAAGAATGATTACTAAAGATCTACATTGGTGACAGGTGACCATTTTGAAGAGTAATTAATACAAAATGTCACCTACAGAGTGAGTTTTCTAAAGTTTTCCTCTCCTCACTGTTGATCTTGAGTGTCCAGAATAAAACAACTCCTTTTATAAATGCTAAAATTTGGGTTTCTGCTAAATAAGATGTCCCAGGGAAGGATGTTTTGTGGATGTGGCTCTGCTTACAGGTGACTGCTGTCTTGATGCCCAAAGTGTTCTCACACCTTGCTTTATGTTGTGTTGCACAATCAGCAGGGCTCAAATTATTTGTGTTGTCTGTGAAGTGTAGACCAGACCTGTCTGATGCCATTTTTTTGGTTTTCTGTAGTACCTCCTCTGGAAGATTGTAAGGAACAAGAGCCTGTGATGGACAACAATATTTCTGTGGTGCCTTTTGAGAGACCTGCTGTTATAGAGAAGCTGACGAGCAACATGGGAAAGCGTAAAAGCTCCACCCCACAGAAGTTTGTGGGTAAGCTGGAAATGAGCCTTTTATTCTTTTTTGTGCATGGGTGTAGGTTATGTGCTATTTGTAATAGCCAGAAGAACAAGGGGAAAAGTAGCACTCTCACAACTTGGTTCTGATACAGCAATGGAGGTGGTTGAATCACGGCAAGAAATCATGATAATTATTGAATTCATTTTACCAGTCCAGAGAATTCAAAAGTGAAATCCGCTATAATGAAAATGCCTCAGAAAACCTTTAGCTTTTTACTTAATGCTGTTTTGTTTGTGGTTTTTTTTAAACTTCTCTCTAGCCCTTTTGAGATTTAGACTTGTCATCTTTCCTCTCCTTGCTCCAGAAAAACAAAAACAAACTAAGACTGTCATATAATTATCTGTCTCCATATGTGTTAAAAAAATAAACAACAAGTATCTCAAGACTTCTAATTTGTATTAAATTCCTGGCACTTGGCAACAACTGGTCTGATAACACTGGAATGAGGAAGTAAATCACATCCCTTGTGTTGGAAGAAGAAGTTCTTGCTCCGAGTACAGCACTCTGTACACACAGTAAACTTATTAATCCATGAATATGAAACAGCATTGGGTGGCTTTTAGTTACTAGATTTAGAATCCTAGGTCAATAATTCATATTTTGCTTTGTGTCTTGACATATTAAAATCACTCAGCTTGTAACAGGTGACAGTATGGGGTATTTTACTTGGTTTGAGCTGTAACTTAAAGCTTCTTTTTACTGCTACTGAAACAATGCAAAACTTCTTAGGAGGGAAGCTGAAACAGATTTTTTTGGGGTAAGTGTCAGACTCTGAAGTCACGTAATAGGTATTTTCCTTTCCATGCTGGGTCCCTGAAGGGCAGTCACACAGAACTTAAGGGTGTCTCATTCTGCCTACACTAAGGACCCTTACAGAGAGCATCACAGGACTGTAAGTAATTAGCACAGCCATTTAGAAAAAATGTTGCCCCTCAGCTAAATGGAGATTCAGATGGATTTGTTAAATCACCCCTGAAGGTGGCTGTAAGTAAGCTGCATGCCTTGGAATAGCAGGGGGCCAGCAGTGTGCAGCAGCTCACCTGGGGGGACTGACACACTGACCTGGCTGCTCTCAGTCAGCTGACCATTCCCAAATATCAGTGCTGAGCCAAGGATAGGCCAGCAATGATCCATCCCACATGGGGAACTCTGGGACATCAGTATTTCCTCTGTTGACCATATGTTATTCTTGTGTTCAGAGATAAATTTACTGATTGGAAGTCTTTGCCCAAGAGATGCTATGCTACATTATTATTCTCTTCAGCAGGTTATACTACTTTTTTTTTAGATAAATCGGGGTTTTTCTATAGGTGTAACATATCACTGTCCATATGTAGGAAAAAACGTACCCCCTTTCACTTTTACCATATCTTAATTTTCTGATCTTTAGTGGCATTCCAGTGTTTAGATTGAATAACAGCAGTCTTCACTTGGCTGCCTTTCTTTTTTTTTTCTCCCCTCCACCATGACCTCACTTTTCTTCCCCTTTTCTCCCCAATTAAATATTGTTCAGCTCTATCAGGAAGAATGTGTAATGGTTTTGTTGCTTGCAGGAAATTTTCCTGTGCATACTGCAAGTATGGCACCTGTCCAAAACAACTTAATGGTGTTTATGAGAAGGTCATGTAAGCATAAGCTAAAATCTTTGCATGCTACATCTATCAGTGCCTTACTGCTCTTTCTGATCAGCAATCTCCAAGGGACTGTGGTTATGGACCACAGTCTCTCCTATGGCTGACTTTTCAGGAGGAAAGGAAGCAGCATACAGCAAATAGAATAAATTCATTTCTGAGTGAGCAACTTGTTTATATATCTGCACTTGAGGTACTAGTCTTACCAAACCAGTTGAAACAGTGGAGGCAGAGAGTACAATTTGTGATGTGCAGCAGTGCGAGTACTTCATTTTGCTTCTTGTTCAATGAGAGAGAGGCAGACACCAGTTAAATTAAAAGCAGTCATCTTCAGGCAGGTCATGTGGAGCAGATTCACATATTTTCAGTTGGAATTTGGAGCTTCCTCTCAGAATGTCACCGAGGTTAAGAAGTGGCAGGATGCAAAAGGAGACATTTATGTGGCTTACGATAAGACCATGGTTGTTAGAGTAAGAATTAAAAATACACAGCGTCTCAGAACAGATGAAGATCAGCCGGCTGCCAAATTACACTCAGCTTCTGGTTAATGGGGGTCAGGGAGAAACTTCCCCAGGGGGAAATGCTGGAACAGCTTCCTCCAAGGTTTCTTGGAGCTCTCTCCCAAGCGTCCCGCATTGCAGCTGCTTTAGATACTCGATGAGATGAACTACAGGTATCACAGGACAGCTGTGTCTGTGTGCTTTGATCTAGCTTCAAATACCTGTTTTGGGGTTTATTTGAATGTCATATGGCCAGAGGGGAGGAAGTTTTTTCTTCTACTTCACTAATGTAGGGCAAGGATAAATAGACTTTGAGCATAGTTTAAATGAAAATTGAGGATGATTGGTCTAATTAGCTGATTTTAAGTATAGAATTGGCTGAAAAGGAATTTAATTTGGAAACCACATTGTACTGGTCTATTGGACTGTTTATTGGCTACTTCTGAGCTCTGCGTTTTACGCCCTCTCCTTCCCATGTTATAATTTATTTTGCTTTTTTATGTCACACTCCATTTCTCTGACTCTGACATCTTTGGAACTGGTTCATAATTAAAGGAATAAATAATTCAGGTCACTGGCAATTTACAGCTTTCTTTGCTGTCTGTGCTGGAGTAACTAAACATGGATGATGAAAGGAATCAAAATAAGGTTTGCATCGTTTATCCAAGTAGCCCATAGAGGATGGGTAATATTTCTTCATCTGTAAAGCCTACAAAGGACTGACAGTGTGTTTGGCAGCTGGATCAGGCCCTCACCAGATCCACTTCTTTATCCAAACACAAGAATGACACAGGAGGCCAGAGCAGGTGACAGGTACCAGTGGGCACAAGACACACTTGCCTCCTAGAGCTGTCCTCCAGTCCTCCTTTGGCCCTACTTGGGAAGGAGCTGCTCTGTTTCACAGGAGGCTGGAGCCACGTCCAGTTGCAGAGCTGTCCATCCTGTCTGTGGCAGCACAGCCATCACAGGCAGCCAGACCACAGCACAACACTGAAAGGAGGATGTTTGATGGCAAGAATCATCCAGCAGTCGTGTCAGATTACCAGGACCATCGTTGAGTACACCTCAGAGGTACACAAGCATGGTATGGTGTCCAGCCATGTGAACAGTATTGCTCAACAGAGGAGGAATATTCATGTGCTTCACTTTAGACTTACGTGTAATTACCTTAATAATCAGGGCTAAGTTACCCAGCAGAAGTGATGCATCATCATCTCTAAGGACATCATGGTTGCTCTCTATGCATCGCTTTAGAATAAGTCACGCTAAGTGGAATGAATTATTATAGTCAAAAATAAAATGCTGAGTGATAGCTGTGTTGAAATGTACTAATGCAATTTGGAAGAGATTTGGTATTACAGTTCTGTTTCTTATAGTGGTTTATACACATTGTGTTCCAAGCAATTTTGGCAAAAGGTGATAGAAAAAGCTTCTTGAGTAATTTAATTCTTGAGTAGCCAAACTACTTGTAAGTAGTGACTTCTTGAATATATTAACTACTGGAAAAAAAGTCTGGGTTTATGTACCAAGGAAGTGAAGTAACAAAGACAATGAAAACCAACCAATATTATTTATGAGACTTCATAAAATCAGCTTTAAACATTAGCTGTCAACAACCACATAATTGCATGTGTGAACACATAGGAGCATGTGCATCTTGTATCATACACATATAACCTTTCCTGTTTAAAAAGAAGTTATTCTATGAGCTTTGCCTCGCCTGACTCTCCAAAGCCACCACTGAAAATGCAGTGCTGCTGAGCTGAGCCCTGGTGTAAGCAGTGGTCAATTTGTTCACCTCCAAGGAGAGCTGTGATGTGTAATATAGTGCCTTGTGACTGCCATAATGTACCAGCATGTGGTTCTGGTTTTGCACATCTGTCATGGAATTGATGCTAAAAGGTTACAAGGATGTGAGTTAGGATTCACAGTGATGAACCAGCCAGCTTCAGCATCATTAGGTATAAATTTATGCGGTGTCAATGAAAGGTGCATTACTCTAATTTGTTTTCTTACCTAATTAGACACTGGGAAGGGAGTGGTGTGTATGTCTTTTTTTTTCTTAGTCCAAAAAGGATAGAATTTTTTTTTTTTTTTTTTTTTTTGAGGGAGGAAAACTGCAAAGATCAGCCTCCACTGCTCCTGTAAATGGCTTCATTCTTGGCCACATGCTCTCATTCAATGTTTGGGGGTTTCTTCTGCTGGTTAAAAGGATTTACATATTGTGGCTCTAAAGGTGCCACCATAACAAGCCCTCCTACCTGTTGTTTGGGTTTCTCACTGTTCAGCCCTGTTGTAAGGTAGGTGTGAGGCACCTCAGGCTGTGGGCCACTTGTGAAATGGTCCCTTGAATTTTGGGGAGAGTATGTCTAATGGTATACTCTGTCAGAACTTCAGTGGCCTCAATATTTCAATCCAGTTAACATGTACTTCCTAACTTGAAGTGTGGGCACAGTCAGGCTCAGTTGAAGATTTGGAATTGCTCTGGAAGTTTCTGCAGCCACATGTTTCACCTGTAATAAATTAAAAAAAAAAAAAGAAGAAAGCTCTCGGTGAGGTTACTGTTTTACCCACTACAGGACAGGAACTTTATAGGAGGTCAGTAGTAAATTAGAAGGATGTTAACTTTAGACTCTAGAATAATTTCACCCAAGTCAGGGGGTTTCTGTCCCTCCCCACCCCTTTTGCAGTGAAACATTGCAGTGATTATGTTGATTTTGCTTATGGTTTTGCTTCTATCTCTTAGGTGAAAAGTTCATGAGATTTGGCTATCCAGATATCCCCTTTGATATGAACCTAAGCTATGACAAGGAGGCTGAGCTGATGCAGTCTCACATGATGGACCAAGCCATCACCAATGCAATCACCTACCTTGGAGCTGAGGCACTTCACCCCCTGATGCAGCACACACCGAGCACAATTGCAGAGGTGGCTCCGGTCATCAGCTCAGCTTACGCTCAGGTCTATCATCCCAGCAGGATAGAGAGGCCCATCAGCAGGGAAACGGCCGACAGCCACGAGAACAACATGGATGGCCCCATCTCCCTCATCAGACCAAAGAGTCGAATCCAGGATAGAGAGGGCTCCCCCAGCAATAGCTGCCTGGATTCTACTGACTCAGACAGCAGCCACGACGACCGCCAGTCCTACCCAGGAAACGCTGCCTTAACCCCCAAGATCAAGCCAAACCCGGCTTATGTGAAGGAAGAGGCCAAGCCTTTGGATGTCACAAAAGCTTCTAAGGGCTCTTTAAAGGATATGTACAAGGTGATCAACGGAGAAGGGGAGCAGATCAGGGCTTTCAAGTGCGAGCACTGTCGCGTCCTCTTCCTGGACCATGTCATGTACACCATCCACATGGGCTGCCATGGCTACCGGGACCCGCTGGAGTGCAACATCTGTGGCTACCGGAGCCAGGACCGCTATGAGTTCTCGTCGCACATAGTCCGGGGGGAGCACACATTCCGCTAGGCCTTCTCATCCAAAGGGGACTCGTATGAAGTAGAAGAACTGCACATGAAGAAATACTGCACTTACAATCCCACTTTTCTTCGGACATTGAGACGCCTATTTTGTTGTTGTTGCTGTTGTTGTTGTTGCCGTTGTTTAATTATTATTATTAACCTTATTTTTTGTGGACCCAACCTCATTTGCTCTGCCCAGCTTAAGAATGGAAAGAAGGAAGGGAATGGATAAAAGAGGGTTTTGTTGTGGCAATCAGTTTTTGGGGAGTGACCCGCCTTGCTCTCTGTGGGAATTGGAAGGCAGTCCGTGTCCGTCTCAGTCAGTTGTACACCATGTCCTCTTTTGGGATGTCGCTCAACCATACCAGGTGCTTTCAAGTCCCAACAAGATGCCACTCATTTGGAATTTCAGAGGAATAGGTAGAAACATTTCAGAGGAGAGCCTTTTTCTAATGTGAACATATGGTGTGAGCTTTTGGTGGCTGGAGGAAAGGGGGGGGAACTTTGTGCTGCAGAATGAACAATTATTTTTAAAGCAAAACTCGTAGGGAGTTAGGAGCATGAATCAAAGTCAATATTCCTCTCAAAACTACTTTCAAGGGTGAGCTGTTTTCCTGGGTTCAGTGTGTATTGCCCCTCTAGAATGTAAATAAATGAAAAAAAAAAAGAAATGTATGTCTTAACACTGTACCACATTACAGCAGTTTAGTTTCATAAGTCTGAGGGCCTTCTGTGGTAAGTTTGAGGCTTTGTGTTTTTATTTTTCTTAACTTATGAAGCACCTTTTTTTAGAATTGTTTATATTCTGTTACTCCATGCCTATGTGTTGTCTCACTGGCTTCTTAGAGACTCTTGGGAGCCTTATTTCTTTAGTTGCACCCTAAGTTTTAAGAAAGAACATTTAGAAATAACATTTAAACTTGCTTCTAGGACAGTAAGTGGCCTAGGAGTGGATGAGAGTCTGTAGTTTACTCAAGAGGTTCTGCTGCTCTTCAGAAATACTTTTGGGTTAAAATTATGGATTTAAAAATGACTAAAGTACTAGTAGCAAATTGTTCTTTAAATATAGGTATATATAGATACATAATTATGTAAATACTTTCTCATTCTACTATCACAGTGTTAACCTCTTGGCAGCAGCCTAAACTAAGACTTGCAGCTGGGAAGGCGTTAGGAGCCAGATCCTTGGCCAGCATTAATCCTCTTGGCTCCATTGGATTAAATGGAACTGCCCCAACTACTTCAGCTACATCAAGATCTGAATCTTGACTGTTTTTTCTCTTGTTGACTCCTTACTTGGTAATCTGCTGAACCACTGACTTCCTTTTGTTTGTATGTCATCAATTCTGCTTAATTTAGGGGTGAAAGTATTAGCAGGTTTTGCTGGATAGCCTTGGCTCCTGGGGAGCACAGAAGCCTGGTAAATCAACAGGTCACATACAACCATCCCTACTTCTTCAGAAAGAGATAAGTGGAGATGTAGGTGCTGTGTATTGATTGGACTTAAAGATTTCGTTTTTATTCCTAATTTAATAATTTCCCTGTAGGGAATGCAAATGGAGAAATACACTCTGGAGAGAGTCCTTGACCTACAGACTGGACAAGAAAGCAAGTCCACTGATACGTTTTTTTTCCTTTCTTTCTCTCTCAGTAAATAACAAAGCCAGCAACCACCCAGCAAGTTCCATCAGTAAAAACTGGGCTTAAACCTACAGGACAGATTGCAATTGAAACCCAACTGTTTGTACCAATCACAATTGAAATGTTGTTGTTTGGCAACAAGAGCACAGCTTGAGAATGGAAAGATCTGGATGGGTTTAACCCCCTCCACACACACGGTCTCCATGCGCTTGGGGAGACCTTTTCCAAAGGATAAAGTTACTAAAGTATAAAAGAGAGAGCAAGATCAGGCCATAATGAATTCCCATCTGCTCCCTCCAATCTGTGCACTTGATGCATATGCCAGTTTGCTGTTCGTTTTGAGGGTACTGGATTTTTTTTCTTCTTCTTCTCTTCCTAGACCTGGAGCATTTGAAAGTAGGAGCTGAAAGCTATTGATTGAAATCTTTTTATGGTGACATTCTTGGCAGCTAGAACCTGTGTTTAGAAAGAATACAGTAGATCATGGCCAGATTACCTGATGACTGCTTCCCAGCACTGCAATGCTATTAAGTAGGAGCTGGTAAAGTCTTGCAGTAGCCTATTAATTATAATACAATATGGAGAGAAATGTCATCTTGTGTAATGTGAGCCCTATCAAGGCTGGGAATATGAAGGCTTTGGAGAGACAGATTTAAAGATCTATTCCCAACATTGTTCTTAATGTCCTTGGGTTCTTCCCCCTCCTTCTTTCTTCACCCTAATGTAGAAGAAACTGGGGCAAACGAACCGGTGCCATCCTCTGGACCATTCTCATTGTCTTGTGCCTGGTGCAGTCAAGAGTTTGTGCAGGAGAAAAGCAGGGCGATGCTGGAGGGCATCGCTTTTATTCTGTGTGGCTGATTCTCTGCAGCAAGGGAGGCGGGCGGCCGTGCTTTGTGTCAGGATGTGCCTGGAAATTAAGAAAAGAAAAAGGTGGTGGTGATTTGCTGAGGCAGGAAAGGTCCTTTAAGAACAAGGTGGAAAGGGAAAGGTTCTTGTGCCTTGAGAGTTGCTGGGCTTTCCTGGGCCTCCAGAAAAACACATGCCCAAGCTATAGAGAAAGGTTGCCGGCAAATCCCTTCAGTCTCCGGGGGAAACACTCCGTTCTCCCCTCTGTGGTCAGTGAAAGACCATTGGGCTGTGGTTTCTTGGAATAGCTAGCACTAGGGAAAAAGTGTTTAAAATTTCTGCCTTTGTTTGGGAAAGCACCGGAATACGGGAAAGGTAGAGAATCTCTTGTGTATCCACAGATCAGTTGGCTGCAATTACATCTGCAGTTCGTTAGTGTGCACTTGGGTTCACTGATGACTCACTGATGCCTCCGGTAAGGTGTATTCTGTGGGAGAATAAAGGATCACATGGGGACGCCCACTGATTTTGGACCTGGCTTCAGTTAAATCCAGCTTCTTGATCTAATGGTAGCAGCTGAGGTCTGTATGTCCTGGTGTCACAGGCAGAGGGAACTGGGGAGGCACTGGGGAGTTACCTTAGAGAAACTACATTTTTTGGAGAGGAAGAAACTTGAGGGGTCACATTGATTTTTTTATTATCAATGTCCTTTTCTAAACATTCACAGAAGACTTTTATGCTAGAGTAGGAAAAGAAGAAAGATTAAATTCTAGTTAAAATTTTGAACAAAATTTTGAATTATCACGTACTTTAGAATTCAGTTCCTACTGAAAATTATTAGAGAGCTTTATGTAATGCAGTTTGTTCCTTCAGAAAAGTGAGCAAAATGGGGCAGCAGAGATTTCTTTGGGTGTTTTTTCTTGCTTGCTCTCTGCAAGAATTGGATTTCTAAGAAAAGCTCTTGTATTTCATCAAGTTCATTAGTCATTCATAGTGTACTAGGAATTTCAGTAGTTAATCCTTGGCCTCTAAATCCGTTTGTTCTGAGTATTTGGTGCTGGAAATCAAATCTGGCTGATTTTTATTGGACTCTTTTGAAATTCTTGGAATCAGGTTTCCGGTTAGAAACATGCATTTGCAAATTTAGAGTTGGCTTCCTGTGAGCATTCCCCATTTTCATTAAAAAAAAAACCTGTGCACTTCTCTGCCAGTAAACCCTTTTGCTTCTTTCACATCAAAAATGGCAATATTCTGACTCAGTTTAGAGGATTACAATCCTATTAATTTAAAAAGAAGTGTGACTGCTTATTCTGCTCTTGGTGTGATCCATATCCTTGGAGCAAAGGGCATTATCTATATATCTGTAGTTATGACTGATTAATTTTACAGCCACCTCTCTTTGTAATCTATTAGGAGTGCACATCAAAATATATTGCATTTTTCAGTAAAGCCTGCTCTTTACTCAGTAATTTATGGGATTAAAATAATTTTATTCTCTTTAAAAAGTGCTTTCATCTATGATGTGATGTGAAAGGTGTCTAGGCATTAACCTGTAGTGGTCTGTAGCAGAGAGGGAAGATTTGAAATGGGTTAATGGGCTTGATTTTTAGTGGTACTGGTTTCTACAGTGTTAGGACACAGCTCACAAAGTAGCCACGTGGACCTAAAGTATGTTTACTGCAAGGTGAAGAAATTCTCAATTGTCAGAGTTTGCAAATTTCTTTCTGTTTACAAGGGCTTCCCTAAATTTGTGCTGTCAGGCAGGAGGTCAGTAATGAAACCCAACCCTTCAAAACTGTGCTTTCATGGGGCATTATTAGTGTTGCCCAGGCCCTGGGCTAGCTTGTTCTGATTTGAAAGAAGCCAGACAACAGACACTCCTTCCTCCAGAGAGAACCTTTGGAGACAACTGCAGCAAAGGTGCTTATTTCAGCCAAGGGCAGGAGCTACAGTAATGCAGCTCCTTCACTGGATAAATTCCTTTCCTTAACTCTTGCTGTGCTTTTTAATGTAATGAGAGGGGATGAGGGAGGCTGCCAGAGTCACCTGAAGTCAGTGTGGGATTTTAGGAAAAGGGTGATGAAATTGGCTTTTCTGCTAGTAATTCACATCTTAGCTTGGCTTAATAGCATTTAAAAACAAAAGTGGATGGCCTGCGGGGGCAGCTGGAGAGCTTGAGAAAGTACATTTATATATATATATATATATATATATGGTATTGTGTAGTTAGAGATATGCTTTATTGTATATGTGCCTTTTCCAAATGCATTTTGGGAGATCCTGATGTCGTTTGTGATATCCTACCAGACCCTTTCAGAATGCACAACAAAAACCAACCCAAAGGAAACATCCCTTCTCTTGCTCTGCACCCTCCTTGGCAGCTTGACCCAGAGAGAGGACCCCATTCAGTACTTTGCTGTGAGATTTCTTGGAGTCACACAGCTTTTAGGAGTGGGAAGGGCTGAAAATTACCCCAGCAAAGCACATTCCAGCTATCCAGCCAGAGCTGGTCTGTAGCTAGTCCCAGGGAGCACAGCATCCCCAGCACAATGCCAAGGCTTGCCGTGGCAGCCCCCAGCTGATCCGTGCCCTGCGGAGAGCCAGGGAAGCGTCTCCTGTTTCCTCCCTCTCAGCGCTTTAAGTGAAGCACCTTTGGAAGTGGACTTTGCTCTGCTTTAGAGTTCCCACGTAGGTCTAGGAGCAGACTTTAAAGCACTTGCTTCTTGCTTCAGCCTGGGAAAACAAATGTGGTGAGTCCTTTGGAAGTGGTTTGCAAGTTTGCCTGTCCCGCTGCTGCCACCGCAGGAATTGGCATAGAGATGAGAAAAGCTCATCAGGAGGAGGCATTCAGGGGGCTCACGAGGTGGAGCACCGTGGTGACGAGCACAGTGCCGGTTCTGGGACTTTCCCAGCGGGTTGGTGACCTGGTTTCAGGTGCAGTTGTTCTCCCTGCAGGGCTGCAGAGCTGAGTGTGCCAGCACAGCCAAGGCAGGAGAGTCACCGTGGGCGAGGTGGCTGGGCCAGCAGGCTTTGGGCAGACCCTGTGCCCAGCCCAGAGCCACCCCCTTGGCAATGCTCTGCTGGGCCCAGGCCAGAGCAGCCAAAGAGGGGTGGTGAGGGGAGCAATTAGGTGGAAAAGAGCTAGCATTTCCTTCATTGTGAGTAGATTCCCGTATATCCAATTGATGTGTTCTGAGATAAAAGCAAAGGAGAACATCACTGGTTTCCAATTTAGTTTCTAATTTGACCTCCTACAACAGCACCTTAAAAGGTGGGTTGTGTCTTTCTCGTACCCAGCTCTGAAATGTGCAGAGGACAGTCAGGAGGAGGGCTGGGCTCAGGCTTTGCCATGCTGCATGCTTAACAGGCCAAGAAAACAGTAAAACCAGTGTCTGTTTAATTCACCTACCTTCACAGTTGATCATGC